TTTAAAAAAAAAATGTTATGCCAAGCCATACACAAATTACTGCTTAATGTTAAATTATCATGAGTGATGGATAGATTTGCAGTGCTAACTGTGAGCCGGATTGAGACAACTCAAAACTCATGTCACTCACAATATTTATTAAATAACTGCATAGAGGCCAGTATCCCATCACCAAGTCACCTTTTATTTACTTGTGCACAGTACACTGACTGTTGCCAGCCAGCTCAGAGTCAGTCCCCTGAACTGAGGAGATTCGAAATCTCCTTTTATGTTGGTCAGTCAGGGCTTTCCTGATTGGTCTAGGTTAACAACTCCAATCAAGGATCTCAGTCAACAAGGTCCACATGGTTCCAATTACTACAGTTCAGCAACTAGCAAACAAAAAAGGCAGGCTTTCATGCAGTCAGTAAAATTAAATCCCAACCAAGGTGGAAGTCAGTGGCAGCAATTAAATCTTGTGACTTTCTGAAATTAACACCATCATCATTAACAGGTGTCAGAAGAGTTGGAGAAGTTGTGAGTGTATGTTGCAGTTACTGCAGTACAAAACTCTCCCCTCTCTGCCTTATAGAGATGTCAATGCAGAGCACAATTGGAAATAATGCATTGCTTTTGTTCCTAAACTACAAAGAAATTCAGAAACCTCTGATGGATACTTCAGGGAAACTCTTCAAGTTTTTCTTCGATATCTTCCTTTGTTTCCTTTTATCTATTCTCTCAGTTTCACTTTCACCCTAACCATAACCCTTGACCAGTTAGACTGGACAGGCCCCTGCAGATTTCGAGGGATCTGTGCTTTAACAGTCTTCCTTTGTTGTTGGAATAGAATGCCGCCACTGTTAAAGGGTTGGGTTAATGAACTACAAATTGAGAAATAGCTATTAAAGAGGTAAAGTCACCATCTTCCTACTGTCTCATTAGAGAAGGACAATTGGTAGTGGTTTAATCTCAGGGTCACTGTGTCTCAAGCAAGGGGAGAGGTTGAGAAGGAGAACCCTTCAAGGTAACCTCAGCCAGCGTAGGAATTGAACCCATATTGTCATTGCCACTCTATATCACAAACCAGTTGCCAGCCAACTGAGCGAACCTTCTAAAATAGACAAGGTTGTCTTCAAAGGACTCTTCTCACTTAATTTCCTCGTTTTGAGGAGTCTACCTGCGAGTCATCAGAAAGGGACAGATTTCCAGATCCACATCTTTGCCTGTGTTGACACAAACGACGAACTGCAGGTGTTGAACAAAAATTGTACTGGACACCAGATGGTGGGAGTTTCTGGCTCCTTTTTCAAAATTGGTATCAATTGAATTCACTGTACATCTGCTCTCCCTAAACCTGATGGCCTGTGCAATCTTTTGTATCCGTGCTCAGGATATCCTCTTGGGTGTTGACATCCCATTGTCATCTTGGCCCACTGCTCCCTGACCTTTATCAGAGAGAAGGAAATTTCTGGCAACTTCCTTGCATTGGCAGCACCTGCACACTTTTGCAGCCTGAGTTTCTAATTCCATTTCCTGCACATCTGAAAAATCTAAAGCTGGAGAATCCTGGATGACTATGGATATTGTTGAGAAAATAAAAGGAAAAGGAGGTATATGATGCAAACCAGAATAATGATACCAATAGAAATCAGGAAGAGTATCTCAAATGCAGGAGACAGCAAAGGCTGGAATAAGGAAGGCTAAGAGAAAGCATGAGGAGAGAATGGCAGGCTGAACTAAAATTAATAGTAAAATTTTCTTCAGACATATTAATTGGAAAAGATGGGTGAAATACAGAGTGGTTCGCATGACCTCCTTTGTACTGTAAAATTCTATGATTCCATGACCATGGCAAAATCTCTCCCAAATTCACTTACAATGATACTGTCAAGCTCTAAACATGTTTGAGTCCCTAGCCTTTTATTCATCACAGTACTTCTATACCCGTCTGATTTATTCCCCTACACATCCTTCCCTTTGCTGAATTTTTTGATGGCTTGGTTCGTAGCAAAAACCTTCTTCTTTCAGAAAAGAGGTCTACAGCTCAGAAAAAGTCTCTTCGGCCCATCGAGTCTGCACCAGTCAAAAGCAAGCACCTAACTATTCCAATCCCATTTGCTGTCATTTGGCCCAGAGCCTTGTGTGCCTTGGCATTATGATTGTCCATCACCTTTTTAAAGCTGTTAGTAGGGTTTCTGCCTCTACCCCTCTTAAAGGCAGTGAGTTCCAGGTTCCCACCATCTTCTGTGTAGATTGTCTTTTCCCTCACATCCCGTCCTGCCCCTTACCTTAAATCCATGCTCCCGGTCATTGATCCTTCCAACAGGAAGAAATGTTCCTTGGTCAGTTCCTCAGATACAGAACAATATTAATTTTTGTTGTTTATGTTATGAGATACCTCCCTGGCAACTGTGACATGAACCAGAACCTCTGACTCAGAGACTGGGACACTGTTGCTGCACAAGAGCCTAAAGCACTAACACTACGAACATCTGCTGTGTGCCTGTTCTCTTAAATCATGTTCTGAATAGGAACTCCTCAGAAATTTAACTAGCACTATGGAGTGCATTCAGATTTGAAAAATCTTGCCTTGTTTGGCCTCAACAGGTTTGTGTTATGGATGGCAGAAGTCAGCAAGCATAGCTTGGCTGGGCAGTTTGTTGCTGTGAGCATAATCTTGCATTCTGCTCTGCTAAACTTAATTGCTATTTCCATCACTGTTGATTGAAAAATCCAGCGAGGATGCACTTTCTAAAATAAATAGGCTCATGTCCAGAAAGAAGTTGTCAATAGCTAATGCAAGATTACAGATTGAGAACAGAGTGTGCACATTCCTGAAACCTCTGTTCTGTTCACAGATGCTGCTCACTTGCTGCTGCTTTTCTGTGGTTTTATTCTAAAACTTATGATGGATCCTGCTACGTGCAGCAGATAGCCACCTAGCATGATGTTTTTAAGTGAGGGAGGGGATGAAGAAACTTTTAAACTAAATCCTTAGGGAAGTAGTTCATGGGTGTCAATTTTTCAGTCTGCCGCAATGTAATTGGACTGTGTCACAATTCCAGCACAGAGGCTTTATTTTTACTACAAGAACAGAAATTGTTGGAAAAGCTCAGCAGGTCCGGCAGCACCTGTGGAGAGAAATCAGAGTTAACTTTTCAGGTCCAGTGACCTTCCCCCAGAACTTTATTTCTTGCCCTATGAAAACTGATCAAATTGCAAGGACTATGGTAGCGGCAAATGCAAGAAAGACTTGCATTTGCATGGCACCTTTCAGAATCTAAGAACTTCCTAAACACTTTATAGCAAATCAAGTTGTTTATTTGAAGTGTAGACAGCATTGGAACGTAGGAAAGATGATAAAAGTCAACAATCCCAAGAATCGATAACTCTCACCATAATGTTGGAGAAATTTAAAAGGGATGCAGTCACCCAAAGCTATGTGATCATATTGCTGGGGCATAATAGAGTTACAAATTGCTTAATAATGCTTGAATATTTGTCAGCTTTTCCAAAAGCAGATTTGAAGTGGCAGCCAAGATAGCTGAGTAAGTGAAGATTACTCATGATCTCTTGACCTATGTTCTTGGCATATTTGTAAATTTGCACTGTAGCATACAGAATGCAACCAGCTAGAAATCACACAAAAAGTTCTACACCCCACTTTCCCAATCCTGTGTGCCCTCTATCTCATGAGTACAGCCAATATTAATTATATGCTTTCTCCCCTCCAATAATCTTCAGTATGCAGACGATAGACAATGAATCAAGATTATGTGAGCTAAAAGTAAAGCCACAGCGTATCCTGCTGAATTCATGAGTTTTAGGAATTTTTGTCAGAAAGGCATTTATATTATACAGTACATGAACTCAGGACAAAGTTCTTTAAGTACTATTAGAGTACAGACATTGTATTAATGTAAAAAATGCAACAGCCAAACTGTTAACAGCAAAATCCTACTAACACAGAAAATAACAGAATTATGAGTAAACCATGTTTTGGCGCAGATAATCTCAGTTCAGATATGAGAGAGAAAGCATCACAGAGTTATTATTTCAGATCTTCCTCACAAAGTGCTGAAGTGACACTTAAACCTTTTGCTAGGCACTTAGAGTCATAGAGATACACAGCACGGAAACAGACCCTTTGGTCCAACTCATCTATGCCGACCAGATATCCTACATAAATCTAGTCTCATTTGCCAGCGTTTGGCCTATATCCCTGTAACCCTTCCTATTCATGTATCCATCCAGAAGCCTTTTAAATGTTGTAATTGTACCAGCCTTCACCACTTCCTCTGGCAGCTCATTCCATACATGAATCACCTTTTGCATGAAAAACTTGCCCCTTAGGTGCCTTTTGTATCTTTCCCCTCTCACCTTAAACCTATGCCCTCTAGTTTTGGACTCCCCCACCCCAGGGAAAAGACTTCAGCCACTTTGTCCATTCTCCAGCTGAGTATGTGTCTATATGTATTGCAGTTTCCGGGAGGACAAAACAAAGAAGATGGCAATAGAAGTAAATGTTTTAGAGGTCAAAAATGGTCAGGTGAGCAATTGAAGCAGATAGATAGGAAGAAAAAAAAAAAAAAAAAAACAATATTTTTGAATTGGGGTAATTGCAGCCATGGCATGGGATATGTAACATGCTTGGATGCTGTAATCCCAATAGCTAGGTGGTGAAGGAAAAACCAGAGCCAGTCTGTATTTGGTTCACTAATGTCTTTTCAGGAAGGAAATCTACCACCCTTCCCTGGTCTGGTCTACGTGTGACTCCACATCCACAGCAATGTGGCTCATTCTTGATTGAATTTATAGATATTGCCCCGCATTAAGTGCTGGCCTCCCCAGCAATGCCAACATCCCACAGAAAAATATGAAACATAATGGGTATATATCAGTAAGTGTCTTCTGCCAGCTAATGGAACAAATTAAACAATGAAATTTCAATGTGTAATTATGAAATTTTAATCAACTAACTTACTCATGGCCCATACTCCCACAGGACCACAAAACACTTTGGAATCATGAAACAATTCATGAATTTGTGTGTAATCCTAGCTCAGGGATCACACTAATCTTCTCTGTTTCATTCCAATTTTAGTAACTGCATTACCAAAGCAAGCACAGAATGTTCCTTTAAACATATTTTTCCCCCCACCACCCCAAATCAACTCATTCAGAGGCATGGTTATATACCTGTGGAGCAAATGGAACTTGAACCCAGATCTTCTGGTCCAAAGGTAGAAATAATACTACCACTGCACCATCCAGAGTCCCCTGAGAATGAGTTGAGTAGGAAGTGTCTCTTTATATTTGCTCAAGTAGCTAATGTTTTCCACCTGTATGCACTTAATGTTAATTAAGGCTGTTAATCTTGACAGTATGACTTTAGACCTTGGTTTCCCAAGGTTCTCCATGGCTAGGATTTTCTTTGTATCATGTCTGGATCTGCTGCAAATAAATTGTTAGAGACTGATTGCTATAATTGGTCAACAACTCCAGTATGGTTGCATTTATGACAGTCAGATGGCAGAAGACAAATCAGAACTCATTTCTTGTCTAACAATTCCTAGAAAATACCTAATCTTTTATATGAAGATCTGAAAGAGTTAATGCTGAGGAGTGCATTGAGAACCTCGCAAGATGATGAAGTCACATCAGTATGGGTGGGAAGGAATAAGACCCAATACCTTGGTCTCCCTCAGTCTCAGTGATGTGTTTATCATGTCAATGTAACTTGTGTCTAGTTGCTATCATGCAATAAATGACATTCTCTTTAAGATGTAGGCCTCTTCTCATTAAATTATCAGTTCTTTTCCTCTACGACACTAGAAAAAAACAGGCTGTCTACTAGGATAGAGAATGATGGCAGGAAGGGGCTCTTGTGGTGCAGCGGTAGTGTCCCTACCTCTGAGCCAGGTGGTCCAGGCTCAATTGCCACCTGTTCCAGCAGTATCTGATAGCAACTCTGAACAGGTTGATTAGATAGGAAGGTGACAGCTAAGATATCATATGGATCTTACACTACAATAAGCTGGAGTGAGGATTCATCTCAGAACATAGTCCTCCTATCAAAACAGTTTCATACTGTTGAGTTTAAAATTCATTCCCAGGTTTTCTAAGATTCTCAAATCATCATTCGTCACCTTGCTAAGTCTTTCACTCAACTTAATGTCACATGATTTTAAAGTCCAACTTCTTCATCACCTACTACTGTTTTATGATTTTTAACTTTTATCATCCTTCTTAGTATCCCAAGGTCCCTGGCTTGCTCGTTGGTTGCCTAATGTCATGTTACTATGTTGACAGAATCAGCAAACTACACTGACAGATCCATTGCAGTGTAAGACCATTATCTTCGATGCCAACTTTACAAGGTCTCAGATTACAACAATATTGAAGTTAAATTCCATAGCAATGTTAATTGGCTTAATAGAAGTGACAGCAAACCATGAACAAAATCCTACATCTTCCTGACTCGGAATCATAATACTAATTCCTTCATTGTCACTGAGCCAAAATCCTGCTTATGTCTTCCTAACAGCACTGTGGGTATATCTTCAGTCACTACAGCTGGGAATACTGTGGTGAGTAACTCACCTCCTGACTCCCCAAAGCTCTGTCCACCATCTACAAGACACAAGTCAGGAGTGTGATGGAATGCTCCCCACTTGCCTGGATGAGTGCACCTCCAACAATACTCAAGGATCTTGATACTATCCAGGACAAAGCAGCCCGTTTGATTGGTAGCACACCTACAAACATCCACTCCCTCCCCCATTCATGCAAAGTAACAGCAATGTGTGCTACCTACAAAATGCACTTCCAGAAATTCACCAAATCTCCTTTGACAGCTCTTTCCAAACCCACGAGTTCTTCATCTAGAAAGACAAGGGCAGCAGATACAGGGGAACATCACCACCTGCAAGTTCTCACCAAGTAACTCACCAATCTGACGTGGAAATATATTGTCATTCCTTCAGTGTCACTGGGTCAAAGTTGGAACTCTCTCCTCAACAGCATTATGGGTCTACCTTCAGGACATGGACTGCAGAGCTTTAAGAAGGCAGCTCACCACCACCTTCTCAAAACTTGAGCTTGAACAATAAATGCCAGTGTGATGACACTATGGTTTTAAGAGGTGTAGTTTGTCCTGTTTTTTTTAGTGAAGAGAGGTTGAGACAGATGTGCCAATCGGTCTACTCAGACCCAATAAAGTAAACACTTTGTGAGGCCTTAGGGTTTGTTTTAAGCTGGAACAATAGAAGTAGCCTGAATGGGTGGAGTCAAGCTCCCGCAGAACCAGGATTTTTATTTTAGTTTTCAGTAGCATTTGCTGTTGGGGTCTTGAAATTGGACGTGGAAGCTGTTCTTCCTCTTCATGTTATAGCTAAAAGCTTCCAGCTGCTAGAATTGTAAGTGAAACAATCTATTTCACTGAAACTTGCCTACACCAAGGGAATTTTACTATTTGGGATTTTACGATATTGGAACAGTTACAGCTTAGTAGTTAAATAATCCATTATTCTATTCAGTTTTCCAATAGAGTTGTTATTCCAATTCTTTCATTTGTCATTTTTAACTATAGTGTATGAATAAAGTGTGTTTTGCTTTAAGAGTGATAGCTTGACCAATCAAGATTGTATCTGGAATGCAATGCTTGGTACTTACCTCTAAAATAAGAAAAAGTTAGGGTCCAGGCTATCTTCTTAATATATTTTGAGGAGGTCTGGTCTGGTCCATAACACTAGTGCTGCCCACTTCCCACGAGTGAATTAAAAAAAACTTGCACCACCTACAGGACAGGAAGAGCAGGGGCATGGAAGCACCACTATATGCAAATTTCCCTACGCGTCACACACCATCCTGACTTGGATAAGTCTCACTGTTCCTGCACAATCACTGGGTCAAAACCTTGGAACTCTCTTTCTAACAGTGATGTGGGTGTCCCTACACCCAAACACTGCAACACTTCCAGAAGGCAGCCTACCACCACCTTTCCAAGAACAACTGGAAACACATTATAAAGGTTAGCCTTGCCAACAACACTCCATTCCCACATCTTTAAGTCAAAAAGACAGGTTACAACAGCGGTGGAGAGCAAAACAAAGTTATTTTCTTTGGATCAATGATTCCAAAGTGCTGATGGGAAAAGTAAGTAGGTAAAAGAAGTAAATTGTACAAAGTAGAGACATTACCATGAGACATTAAGAAATAGGAATACAAGAAACCATTCGTCTCCTTGACCCTGCTTGGCCATTCAATAGGATGGATCATGGCTGATCTGACATTCCTCATGTCCACTTTCCAGCATTCTCCCCATAAACCATGATTCCCCACTGATCAAAAATCTATGTCTCAGCCTAAATTTTACACAAGGACTTTGCTCCCACAGGTCTCTGTGGCCAGGAGTTCCAAAGACTTACCACCTGCTGAAAGCAGAAGTTCCACCTCATCTCAATCTTAAATTGTGACCAGTTTATTCTGAGACTATGCCATAAGGGGAAACATTCTTTCAGCTTTTACCCTGTCAAACTCCTATGTGTTTCAATGAGCACATTACAGCATTTGTTATCTGAGAAAAATGGATTGTGGTTATGATGTGATGCTGTTGAAGTTTGCAAAATGTCAATCAGTAAATAAGATTGCGTTCTGATTTTCTGTTGAATTTCAATGGGGCAGTGAACGAGTTGCAGGACAGAGTGGGAGTCTGATTGAGAATTAAAGTGGTAAGCTAGCAGAAACTCAGAGGCACACTTGTGGACTATAAAGAGGTGCTCAGCAAAGTAACTAGTGTATACACTGGCCTTACTTAGAAATGGACAGGAAACTACACCAAATAAATTCCATGAATTTCTGCAACTGCGGTGTGACAGACTGTGAAAATCAATGCTCAAACAGTATACAGTCTGTAAATGATGAAATACCACTATGTGCTGTTAAAATAAAACAAATAATTGCAGATGCTAGAGATCTGAAACAGCATGTTTATGTGCTGTTAAATTAGGCATGTATTTACAGGTCACTCACTGATATTTGGCTCCTTATTACAAATCTGTGTGTGCAATGTCTTCATGGCAATAAAGATACTTTGATCATTATGAAACATGATTACTATCACAGAAACCTGATGTGAGGCAAAAATTTTGAACCTTTGCTTCAAGGAATTCAGTCCAACACTGTAAGCATCTGGGCTGCTTTGGGGAAAATGAGTTGCCGTAAAGACAAACTTAGCATCTCTCTCTGGGCCATTTTCTGCAAAAATATCACAGAAATCTATATAGTACAAGTCATCATTTCAGCTGATTTCCACCAGAACTTACATTCAATCTCTTTTACTTATGTCGTACATCTAGACTCTCAGTAGTGAACCTCTCAGAAAGCACACCACAATCTGCTTTTTCCTTTCCAAATAAAATCCCCAACTTGACTGTAAAGTAGCACTCTCTGGTGGGGTATTTGACATCTCGACCAGTATATGGTCCTGGGTAGGGGCTGTTTGAGGTAGTTTGCTGTTAAAAATCTCCATTGTCTTTGCTTTGCAGAGTTAAAATATAAGATAGTACTTGTTTACCTGCTGGATTGGCACTGCATCATTCTGGCACACCAGCAGTGCATCTGTTCACCTATTATTAGGTATTCTTTGACTCTTGTATTGAGATTAGATAAGAAAAATTAGCTTCAGCATTCAAAATATTTTCCCAGGAAATACACTTGACCTGTGTTGTACAAAAAAAAATTCTTCACATTGCATGTAATATAAGAAAATTGTACACTTCATTATCTGTATAATATGTGATGATGGATAACTGCACAGGGCACATGATATTGTAGAACCATGCTAATCTTGTTGACCGGTTTATTTTCTGCCACTAACAGAAAGCGGTCCTTGAAATTGCAAGAGCAAACGGAACTTGAAAAAGTGACATCCAGCACAGAAAAATGTTCTTATTTCAGCTGTTTGATGAGAGCTGAAAGAGCACTGAGATTTCTTCTAGTGGGCAGGTAGGAGAGTGGCAGAAAAACACATTCAACCCAGGAGAAACTGGGAGAGAGATGTCACAAAGTGATTGCAGATGAACTACAGTGGCTGTGCAAGTTTGGACTGATACAAATGAGTGTG